TGTTTCATTGTTTTCATAATTCAGCTGTCATCCAAAATTACCAGTTTAGGTAGCAGGAGATGGCGATTCACTGACCTATTTACCTTTGTCTGCATGAATCATAGTATTGCAAATATAAAGAAAAATCTAAGGAATTCATCCTGTTATGTTCATATTTAATGCACAGGTGTTGAGATTTATAAAAGTACAATCCCTTAGAGGTAATAACTTTCAGAGAATAGCTTTTAGTAATAGAATTAATTAGGAGTGTATTTGTGGCCTTTGAGAATACTGTATTAGTAGAATAGTAACACAGAAATCTAAGTATAAGAGCTTAATTTTAATATGGAGGAAGTGGAGCTTGGATTAGGCTATGATTTCAAGCAGAAATTTGTGAAAGAAAGATTAATTAACTTAAGTAAATAGAGAGTTAAGCAGCATTGGGTGGTCAGCAAAATCATACTTCTAATATTGACTGTCAATACTGCTGTGAAACTTTTTTTCCATAGTTCTCACAGCTTAGGCTAGGAGCAAAGAAAACAATAGGGAAGTCCAAGGTTACATGTGAGAAAGACATGTGGTGGAATGTTAAGGAACTGAAGTAATTAACTGTGTCAGCAATATAACTCATGAATCATGGAGACTATATGAGACAATATGAGAGGAAAGTTAAAAAGAGAGAAAACTGCAAGATGGGCATACTTCACTGGAATCTAGGGATGGATGGTCACTGGACCAGGTCTTTCTTATTCTATTCATTCATCTATCAAATAGTTACTGGGTACCTACATAACTGCAGGCATCTTATTAGTTAACACAGGTTATAACAGTAAATAGGGTAGATACCACCCTTGCCTTCATGGAACTTACAGTCTGGTAAGGAAGACATGTATCAAACAATTGGAAGTTACAGAAAAAGTAGGGAAATCAGGATCTTTTCAGGGCATTATCATGACTTTTACAGGTTTTCACTCTTCTTCCACTATATCCACAATGCCTACACAGTACAGTAAGTACCATGGCTTGCATCCTAGGGAATCTATAAGTCACTGGGTTCCTTTTTCATCTGCTCGACTCCTTTGCTTCTCATTCTTTCACATATAGGATGGCACAGCAGCAGCTTGCTAACAGCTGCAACAATATATCTGAATTAGAAGCACCAATTTAATAACAATTTCTCTTCGTTCCTTAAGTTCTCTCCTCAGAGTACATCTAAGGAACTTAATAAAGTAAATAATGAAACTAAATTCAAAGCTGAGAATGGAGAATAACTGAAATAATTGAAAGTGGTCAAAATAGAAAAAAAACCAGAACTGTACAGAATGATAGTTTTGAAAATCAAGTTACACCTGACTTGAGACTGAAGAAGTTAATGTAGAAGGAAGGAAAAGCACTGTTAATGGATACATCCAATGCTTCTCATGGATTTTATTTGGCTGATGCACCTAATTTCAGTTGTTTTTCAGAATAAAGACTTTCTCTTTAAGGAATGTGAGAGAACTCTGAATTTTACAATGCAGCTCTTCTAAGCAAATTGGAAAGCTACAGTGAAAATCCTGAATTTTGACATGTAGCTTTCTCAAGAGAAAAACTACTAGATAAAAAAAAAAAAAAAAAAAAAAAAAAAATATTAAAAAAAAAAAAAAAAAAAAAAAAAAAATGCTGCTGTGTTTTCACTCTACTGATGAAAAAGAAGGTTAATTCAAGGAGGACCAAGATTTCAGATTTCTCAGGTTGTGCTACAGTAGTCTTTGACCACAATGCAAATTTGATTAAATCTTGTAAGGATGCCAGGAAACTGGCAACAGTCACTGGCTATCTGGATATAGTGACTCATTCACATCTGGATGGCTCAAAGGGTCATTATAAGATAAAGGATTTGGTCCAATTTAGCCAGAGGCAAGTCTGTTTGAGAAAGAAATAGTATTCTGTAAAATACGAATGGAACCCAATGATAGTTTTACTCACCAACTTGAAAGAGCAACAATAACTTTGAAATTTTGTACCATAATGAGCTTGAGAAATATATTCTTCAGGCAGCTTGAAAGAAATGAAAGATTATTGGTTTTCAGGAATAAATACATTAGTAAAGGAACATCAAGATGATATTAAAGACTAAGGGACTCTAAGCAAACCATAATGCTATGTTAGGGCAACAAAGTGGAATTTGAGCCATGCCTTGAAAATACAGAAAAGAGCTCTTGGTAGCAATGGAAATCTACTTTTCAGCACAAGTAGGATGTTTAGGAGAATTCCATTTTGTCTAGAATGAAGAAAGTGGTAGAAGTATTTCTCCCAAAATTTGCTCAGCAAGTAGTTTATCTCCAAAGATTATGAAGGCTTCTTCAGTGAGTCAGAAGGTATGGAAAAGAATACCTTGAAAAAAGAATTTTTCAGGATTTAACAGTTGTACAACACTTAAAAAACCATTCATGGTAATTTGGTTGCCTTTGAGGTGGGAAAAAGAGGTGATTTTTGTCTAGGGAGAAGAAAAAGGAGGAAAAGAAGAAAGGAAATCAAAATAATAATGAGAAGAGCAATGGCATGTCCACTAGTCTACTTGATCCTACATTGTATACAAGTGTCCTTGAAAAAGTACCTTAGGCATATCAAAGATGTTTTGAAAACAACCTCCCTGGGTAACTGATATTTAATACAATACAACTCTCCAAGATTGTCAAAAGTTTGTTTTAGCTTAGCCTCTCAATTACTATCTTAAATTAGGAGAGCTGCTAGTAGGTTCTTTGGGGATGCTACATTATACAACTTTTGGAGACAGCATTTACATCTAACTCTATGTGAACAGATCCCCTTGGAGACATTCAAGATGGTGGCCCTGCAGGTCCTAACCCTTCCCACACAATTTCCTATAGGTTAACAGAGAATACCATCAGCTCTTTAAGATATGGTAAGACAGTTTGAAAAGGCTCTACTACTCCAGTTCTCTGAGGAAAGGGATGCAAGTTGTAAGACAACAAGCCTCTCAAATTCCTTCTCATGGCAAAGTAACTTATTTGCCTCTACTTTGTACCCCTAGGGCACTCAGTAGGCTTTGGCATCATATATGAGAAGCTAGAGGATCCAGCCTGGATGAGAGTACCTTAAGTCCTTGTTTCTTCAGGTCTTAGGATCCTATTTGAAGGAGCAGGAATTCCTTTATGATCTCATCTCTCAAACTGAGGTTTTCCTGGTAAGCAATCAGGGCCTCAAATAGATGACTTCTGATTGAAAATACGTAATAATTAAGGAAAACTTTTTTTTTTTTTTTTTTT